AGATGCTACAACTCCCACCACGAACAGTCATCGTTTGGCCCGATCCAAATAGCTCTGCTGCCGCTGAAATCATGTTCATGGTAGATGTGAGTCAGTATCTGACATCCACAGTCTGACACATACACGCACATGAGCCATCGCTGGGACAAGACAATACAATTTTATTGTGCACAGCTGATTACTAATTTAAGGAACGATTTCTCGAGACCTGCTCCTCTCTCTACTCCAGACATTAAAATTCTCTAGGCTTCTTTCTCTCTGGACTCAAAACTGGAGGCAAAGCTCCTGGTACCACACCCAGGCTATTGAATATAGGTCGGCGGCAGTCCCGGCTGCAGGTAAGAAACTAGGCTTTTGCTACTGACACAATTCGCAGGACTTTAGAATTGGAAAAGACCTCGAAAACAATATGCATGAGGCCCAGTTTCCCTGCTTATAGAAGTTTACCTTAAGTCTCACAGCTCTTTAGTAGCAGGGCCAGGTCACACAATACCCTAGGGTGTACCTGGCTGCCATGGCTTAGAGGTTGAGCATCAATCTATGAACCAGGAAGGTCATGGTTCAATTCCCAGTCAGGGCACAGGCCTGGGTTGCAGGCTTGGTCCTCAGGGTGGAGCATGCAGGAGGCAGCCAATCAGTGATTCTCTCTCATCATTGATGTTTCTATCTCTCTCCATTTCCCTTCTCTCTGAAATCAATAAAAATATATTAAACAACAACAATAACCTAAGGTGAAATAGTTAAACAAGAACAAAAAAGCTCAATCCACCAGTTGAATTCACTACATGAAAATATCCATGATGAAATTATTTTAATATCCCTTATTTTTTTCCTCTTGTTGGGTTGCTTACTGCTAGAGATACGGATCCAGAGCATCTGCTTTTAAATTACAGTGTTTTGGGAGAATCAGATATATTCATAAACAGGGTATTACTGTGCAGAATATATCTGGTAATATTTCTTAAATGGTAGTATGATCGTCCACAAGGAGGGGAGCTGAATGGAAAAGAGAGACTGTTCTAGTACTTTCTGTACTAGAAATTTACAGCCATGTAAAGGAATGATCTAATCCCACAGTACACAAAAATTAGAGACAAGACCCCACTTGTCTTTTAAAAAAATCTTCACCCAAGGATGTGCTTTTATTGCTTTTAGAGAGGAAGGGAAAGGGAGAGAGACGGAAACATGGATGTGTGAGAGAGAAACATCCATCAGTTGCCTCCTGTATATGCCCAGAACAGGGGTGGAACCCACAACCTTAGTATGTTCTTTGACTGAGAATCAAACCTGTGATCCTTTGTTGCCCAGGACAATGCTCCAACCAACTGAGCCACACTGGCCAGGGCCCGCTTGTCTTTTTGTGTGTGTTGAATGTCTGTCTGCATAACCCTGAATCCTGTTTTTCTTGGTTATTACAACATAACCATTTCCCATGTTATTGAAATGTTTCATAAACGTAAGTTTTATATACACATCCTTGTTAAAAATCTCAAGAAATTGGGGGACTCCTCATACAGGTAACTTACACGTCTCCATTTCTTTTGGGGGTTCTTGATGAATGTGAATTACATCAACATTCAGAACCTCCCACCCTCCGAAGAATTAGCCAACACGTATCAATAAGTCTATACTATTTAAGATAGCACACATGGCATTTGTGCCAAAAAAAGTTGCCTGACTTAATCCTCACAACAGCCTGAGGTGAAATCGTAATCCTCATCTTAGATGGGAGCAGAGGTTCAAAAGGCACAGGCAGCTCGTGACATCTGGTATTTGGAACCAGGAAACAGAGTTTTAGGTTCTGGGCCATGTTCTCTTACTGGAGATGCTGCCGGGTCTGTGGGATTTTCAGGGACAGCCCCCTGACCTCGGCTACACATTCCGTAAGCATTGGTTACGCCCGGCAGCGGATCTGGAACTGGCCGGAGATGAAGAGTCTGTGCTTCCTGCACTCGTGTCCATGGGGCAGCTCTGCCACCCAAGCACCCGTTCAGCAGAACGGACAACGCGCAGTGGCAGCCAGGGAGGTCTCCGAAGGCACCACTTCCAGGACAACTGAAGGCCGATTTGGGGGGCACAGGCCCTGCCGGCAGAACTACAAAGCTGCTCCCAGGAAAGCGCATGTGCCTGGGGTTCTGGGAGGCTGGGCAGAGTCTGTGCAGAGAAGGGTGGCAAAGGTGGGTAGGAGCTGCAGGGGAGGGCTCTGAATGTCACTTTAAGGGTAAATTCCAGGATGGCACAGTCACTCAGTGCTGTAGACTCTGGTACGGTTACTTCACAAACTATGGTGGTCATGAGAAATTTCCAGTATTCTCATCAATATATTCTTGAGAGAAATTTCATCCACCACACTCAGTAGGAAGCAAGGAAGACATCCATAGTACACTTAATTCTGACCCAAAACATAACTGGTGGCCGATGAGGGCATGATGGGGAACCGGGGGAGTGGGGTCAATCAGGGAAATGTACGTGATCTCCTTTGCCCGCTCTCAATGGCTGCCATTGTGAAGTGCTCACGTGAGACCTCACTGTGCGGGCAGCTGCATCAGACCTTTACAAGGTGGGGGCTGCCCCGCTTTCACCGACGGGGGACATGAACTCATGTGACAGCACAGAAGTGATGCAGCCAATCTAACGGGAACAGACAGAGGAACCCATGTCAGGACGTTCCACCTCGGCAGCTGGCTGTATTTAGGAAGCCAGCTGGCTGGGCCGGAAGGAGACGTGTGTGTGATGGAAGGCAGGGAAGTGTGGGCCCAAAGGCAGAGCTGGAGAAAGATGGCTGCAAACACTGCCCCGGAGAACTAACTGCACCTGGGCAGGGAGGAGTGGGGGTCCCTCAGATGACAGGTGAGACTGCGTCTTCGATCAGAATGCAGTGATGAGCAGGAGAGTGGGCCGGAGCGTGGAAGACGAGGATGGGAGAGGGTTCAAGGGAAGATACATGGGTAACTAAAATGTAGTCTATGCCTACGACAGAATGGCACCCAAGAATAAAAAGGAATACAGTTGAATACATGCTACAACATGGATGGACTTTTGTGTACGAGAACACTAAAAAGAAAAAAAATGTCCAAACAAGAGGGTTTTAGCTCAAATATTTTTATTTTAATAAAAGGGACCTAGGCTATCCAAATTAAGCTGTAAAAACACACACACACAACGTTTCCAACATGTAAGATGGAAAATAAAACCCATTTTTAAAAGTTTACTATCACTAATAAAATTCCCGGTCAAGATAATTACATGGAAATTATATTAGAAGGGCTCGATAAATACTTTGTTGTAGAGTGCGCGCTGGCCTCCCGTGTCTAGTATCAAAGTGCTTTGAGCTTTTCCAAGTCTGAGTGTCAGCATCCCCACTCCCAACCTTCACTCAGCGGTATTTCCTACCACGTCCTTCCCGTGGCCCATCCATCCAAAGTACAGACCACATTTATAACCAATTGATAGTGCTGAGTCATCACGTCTGTATAAAATATTCGCTTCTGTGAGTCAGGGGAGCAGGCAGGAGAAAGGATGTCAATCCTTGGTCAGGAACGTGCTCCCCCAAGTGAGAACATTGCTACTTTAAAATTTTTTTTTTTTTCCTTTTACAAAGAAGCTGTCCCCAGGACATGGCGATTTGACCATTAGAATTACCTGTAGGCATGCATGAGGAAAAAAAGATGGAGGTGCATATCTGGCAGGCACGGCTGAGGGAGAAGAAATCGGGGTAAAAACACAAAAGGCAGCAGAACAAGAACGAGCATCTCCCTCCCTTCTCACTCCCCGCGCACCCCGACGGCACCCTTTCCTCCCCTCCTTCTACCTCGGCAACAGTGACGGGGTTTCCTCCACAGCACATCCTCCTCCGGTCCTGCTGCCTCGTTTACAGACGGGGAAACCCAGGACCAGAGAGGGAACCGGCCTAAACCATGGTTCTAAAGTAGTGTTTTTTTAAGTGCTCTGGAACCCTCTGTTCAGAGGAAATCATCCAATAAATATAAAGAATTAAATCAGAATTGATCTGATGGGCATCCTCGCCTTGGGTCTTAAGGACCCCCGGGGAGGCCCTCTGGGGCAGTGTGAAAAATATTGGCTTAAGGTGACAAGTAAGCCGAGTCCTGGTCCTCCCCCAAAGCCATGGTGCTACACACACACACACACACACACACACACACACACACACAGGAGGTCCAATGCACGAAATCCGTGCAAGAGTAGGCCTTCCTCCCCTCGGTGGTGGGCACTGGCTTCCTTCTGGCACCAGGGACCTGGGCTTCCCTTGCAGCCCAAGTTTTTTCTGGCCTAATTAGCATATTACACTTTTATTATTATAGATTCTTGGTACTCTAAAATCTGGAGCTCACTGACTAGGGGAACTGCCCCTCCCAGGGCTAGCTAAACTAACCAATCCTAAATCTGTCCACCCTGTACCTGCCTCGTCCGTTCCTTCCTGTGAAAACGCCACAGCCTTCCGCCTACGCACCCCCCTCACTCCCTCCGCCTGCCAGGGAGACCTGGTGCCCCCCACCCCACAGCACGGCCCCTCCTCTTAGGAACTATAAGTAACAAACTCTTCTCAAGGGCAATTAACTCTTCTTGGTCGGTTGGCCTCATCATACCCGAATACTAAAAACTACATTAAAACATTTTAAAAACAGGTCTTACTCTAGAGGCAACCTTTGTCCCAAGAAATCCTGGAGTTTGTTAGAAGGAAGGGAATTCACACCCCGAAAATGCCAGGACTCTGGGGAGAGAGCCTGGCCAGTAAGCTATCTCTCCCGGATGACGTTCAACTGTGGGTACAGGAAAGACCAAAAATGAAGAAGAGGGGGGAAGGAGGGGGGCTGGGGCCTGGAGCCACAGGAAAGGATTAGACAGTGAGTAGCAAGATCCTGGCAGGAAAGCAGGACGGCGAGGTGTCCAGGTGCGTGTGGGCTTGAGAAAGAGGGACAGAAAGAAAGCGGGACCACGGCAGCGCACCTGGGTGGCACCCGGCGGGCTCGCCGCGGGCCTCAGGTGTCCAGCTCCTTCTTGACAGTGATGCGCAGGGGGCAGATGCGCAGGGGCTCGGGGGGCCCGTTGCCCCGCGTGCCCCCCAGGTAGAAGTAGGGCCGCACCTCCCCAAAGCGGGCGTGGAAGGTGTAGAGGTGGCACTGGCGCTCGGCATCGTAGAAGGACAGCTCGCCCTCCTCGCATTCCAGCTCCACGCGCAGGCGGCGTGGGATGGAGGGGACCAGGGGCGACGTGGCCGGGTCGGAGGTCACGCAGTGGTCGCCCTCCACGCCCTGCGTGCGGCACAGGTACCAGAAACCGGAGCGCGTGTCCTGGTAGCAGCTGTGGGAGTAGCCCTCGGGGCCAGTTTCTAGGCACATGCGCACCACGCCCACCCGCCAGCTGGGCAGCCCGCCCAGGTCCACCTCCCAGGCGTGGGAGCCGTGGGAGTAGGAGCGGGAGCCCAGCAGGCAGGGCGCCGAGGAGAAGCGCTCCGGGTTCTCCACCTGCACCCGGTAGCCATGGTTGGTGACGCTGGTGAGGTCCTCGGACACGGCCAGCCAGCCGGCCGCGGTGTTGGGGTCAAAGCTGAAGGGCACTGAGGGCAGAGGGAGAGAGTGGGGGTGAGTCAGGGAACCTCATGTCCTGCCCTTCTGCCATGCCAGCTGATGCCCTAGCCCCCGAGACTGACCAATGGTGTCCCACCTGGCCCCAGTGCAGGGAGGGTGCTGCGCTGGGCTGAAGGACAGGGGTATGAGTTAAAACGGGCCCCACCAAGAAAGATAGGTGGGAGTCCTCACCCCCAGGACCTCTGAAGGTGACCTTATTTGTTTCAGACGTAATTAGACTGGAAGATAGTGGGGCCTTAATGCAATGGCTGTTGTCCTTACAAAAAGAGAAGCAACACGGCGAGGGGAGGTCATGTGACCACAAAGGTGGAGATAAACGTGTTGCAGCCCTGACCCCGGATTGCCTGCAGAGGCCAGAAGTTAAGAAGAGGCAAAGGAGGATTTCCCCCCAACAGGGTGGAAAGGGTGCATGCATGGCCTTGCTGACACCTTGATTTTGGACTTCTCAGCCTCTGGCAGTGTGAGAATACATTTCTGTCATTTTAGGGCATCCAGTTTGCAGGCTGTGAAGCAACACGGGCAGGGAGCCTGATGCCCCATTACTCCCGTGCCGCCTAGGAAAGCCTGGAACATCCCCTGGGTCACTGACATTTCTCCCTTTAAAAGCCAGTCAGCTTGGGCGGCCACAATAAAGGCACCGCAGGCTGGGCGGCTCACACAGCAGAACTTTATGTCTCATAGCTCTAGAGGCTGCAAGTCCGAGATCAGGGTGCTCCCATGGCCAAGTTAGGGCGAGGGCCTTTTTTTGGTTTACAGATGGCCACTCTCCTGCTGTATCCTCACAAGATGGAACGAGAGAGAGGAAGTCAGCACGCTCGTGTCTCTTCTTACAAGGGCACGGATCCCACCCTAGGGCACCACCCTCATGACCTCATCTGATCCTAATCACCCCCCAAAGGCTCTACTTCCCAAACACCATCCTGTTGAAGGTTAGGGCTTCAACATGATTTGGGTGGGGGAGAAGGGCATATAAAAACATTCCGCCACGGCGCATGACCTAGTGGTCGTGTGTGGGCTGGAATCACCTTGAAAGAGGCAATTCCGAACTGAGGGAGATTTTTGTATACACAATCCAGTTCTGAATAGAGGGAAGTCGGTTTCTTTTTCTCAAGAGGTGGCCAAGGGTCAGGACCCGAAGAGGAAGGCGTCCTGCGAAGAGGCGTCTGAGCCATGGGGCAGGAGCGGAGGAGGAGCAGGGTGCTGGGCCCTGTCCGAATGGGGCTGGAGAAAGTGAGTTTAGTGCGCTCTCTGCCTTGCATGGAGTGCCTCCCGTGCCTGTACCACCTGCCCGCCTGCGCCCCCACTCACCAGTTTCAACAGACATGACCATCTTCTTCCAGACACGGTACTGCAGGGAGTCTAGGTACTTGCAAACGTTGATCAGCATGCCAGGCTGCACAGGCTCTGGCTCCATGGTGCAGAAGAGGCTGGGGAGGGAGAATTGGGTCTGGTGGGCAAGGCCGGGGTCATGCATCGTGGGCCTAACTGGGTCAGCTGGACTTAACAAACAATAAGGACTTCTTCCCTTGCCACAGGCCTACAATCCCCGCCAGCTCACCCAGGACCAACCCAAACTGGGCTCTGAGGAGAGATGCACCAGGAGCCATCTGGGCAGCTCATACCGCTTCAAGATTCAGTATTAGTGCTCACCCTGCCCCAGCTGAGATAAATACAGACAGGAGGTACTCAGACATGGTTGCCTTCCTTGTGGGCAGAAATGACACTCCCACATCTGCTCAAAGGATGTCTGGGTCACGAGGGATCCTAAAGGCCCTCCAGTCCAACAGCAGGAAGGTGTCACTGGCCTTTGCGTAAACACCTACAGTGACAGGGAACTCACTACTGCCCAAAGCACTCTCTTCCATGTTTGCACAGCTCCGAGACACAGTTCTTTACTCCTCCCTGTGTTCAACCATCAACATAAGCCAGAATGTGACCAGAGTCTCTCGGAGGGAGGGTGTTGACCAAGAAACTAGCTTAAATGTTGGGACGACCTACTGAGAACTACGAGCCACGTGCAGGATGGCAGTCTCTCTCCCCACCCAGTGGATAACAACACTGCACCAGTGGGATGTCTTGAAAGAGGGCTCTGTATACCTGGCCAGTCACCATCATGCCCTCCGTATTACACCCAGCTGGCTTTATTACAAGCCTGGCCCTGGAGCCACTGGAATTTGCACCCCTGGCCCTGAAGCCACAGGTATTTCTGCCTGCTCTCTCCCTACCCTCCATCAACCTTAGCAACTTACCGGCGTTTTCGGCTCTTGTGTTTCTGAAAGAGAAAAAAATCAGACACAGACACAGAAAAGACATGTAAGTTTTCTGATGAGAGGAGTCATATCCATTTTTCATGGATCAAAAGACTTAATAGTGTTAAGATGGCCATAATCCCCAAACTGACCTGTAGATTCAATGCAATTTCTATCAAAATTTCAGAAACTGATAAGTAGTTCTAAAATTCATATGAAAATTCAAGGGACCCAAAATAGCCAAAACAATCTTGGAAAAGAACAAAGCTGGTGGCTCACACTTCTCTACTAAAAACTTAATAAAAGCAACAGTAAACAAGTTAGTGTGGTACTAACATAAGGACAGACATATGGACACCAGTGGACACTGAAAGTCTACAAATAGCCAAAACCGGTTTGGCTCAGTGGTAGAGCGTCAGTCTGCAGACTGAAAGGTCCCTGGTTCGATTCCAGTCAGGGGCATGTACGTTGGTTGCGGGCACATACCCTGTAGGGGGTGTGCAAGAGGCAGCTGGTCGGTGTTTCTCTCTCATTGACGTTTCTAGCTCTCTATTTCTCTCCCTTCCTCTCTGTAAAAAATCAATTAAAAAAAAAAAAGTCTACAAATAAACCGTCACATTTACCGGCAATTGGTTATCTACAAGGTGCCAAAAAGATTCACTGGGAAAAAATAGTCTAAACAAATGGGGCTGGGACAATTGGATATCCACATGCAAAATAATGAAGTTGGATTCCCTTACACAATATTAAAAAATTAACTCAAAATGGGTCAAAGACTTAAATGTAGAGATAAAACTAGAAAAATCATGACCTTGGCTTAGGCTATGGTTTCTTAGATATGACACCAAAAGCACAAAGCCGCAGCAAAAGAAAACAGTTAAGAAGCACTTCATAAAAATGAAAAGTCTTTGTCCTTCAAGATGTCATCACAAAATGGAAGAAAATATTTATAAATTATAGAGCTGATAAAGGTCTAGTAGCCATAATATATTAAAAAAAAATCTTACAATTCAACAACAAAAAGATAAACAGCTCAATTTTTAAAATGGCTAAAGGACTTGAATGTATATTTCTCAAAAAAAGATACATACAAATGGCCAACAACTACATGAAAAGATGCTCAATGTCACTTTCCATCAGGGAATTGCAAATCAAACTGTACAGGAGTCCCAGCTGGTGTAGCTCAGTTGATTGAACATTGTCCCATGCACCCAAAGGCCGCTGGTTTGATTCCCAGTCAGGGCACAGTAGGGGGTATCCAAGAGGCAGCCAATCTTACCCCCACCCCCCTCTCATCAATAGACATATTGGGATGCCCGGGGCTGCTGGTCTCAGGCTCCCACTGGTTCCTGAACATCTGGTCCCTGTCACTGAGATGATAAGCTCCTCACCATGAGAAAAGAAATATCATCTTCCTTCATCTCCATCTGCAGCCGCTCAATCTCATGAGCTAGAGTCTCTGTGTCTTTCTTGAGCTGCTTCATCTTCTCCTCCACCAGATGCTGCTTCTGCCTCGCCTCCTCGGCCATGACATCCAGGATGGCCTGCTCCTCCCCTCTTAAAAACTCCCGAAGCTTTTCAAACTCCTGCCGGATTCTCCTTTCCAGCCAGGTAGCCTCCACCTGCAGCAGAGAGTGGGAAGGAGGCAGAGGATCAGACTGTGGTGGGAACCTGTTGTCAGCTAGCCCAGTGGCTCAGATTTTTAGCAAAGGAACTGGACTTTCAAAAGAAACCATATGCAGAACCCAAATGGATAAAATATAGATGAAGTTTTCTTAGCACAAATTTACAAGTTTAAATTTGAAGTAAGTCAAATAGCACAATGAAGTTGTTTTTGATTAATTTTTTAAAAGCTGAAATTGCTGCTTATATATGACAACTGTGGTCTTGTAACTTCCTCCATATACAATATTCTGTATCTTGTTTAAGCTGTACAATAGCAAGAGAAATCCTGAGTCACAGAAAAGAATCGATGCAAATAGAACTATTTAAAAAAATAATTGCCTTCCAATCTTAGGATTTCAAATTTGTTCCACCACAAAAAAGCAGCAGGAAATATTTCTTTAAAAATGGAATCATTGCCCTGGCTGGGTAATTCAGCTGGTTACAGCATCATCCCGATATGCCAAGGTTGCAGGGTCAATCACCAGGGCACATAAAAGAATCAACCAATAAATGCATTAATAAGTAGAACAATAAATCGATGTTTCTCTCTCTCCCTCTCCCTTTCTTAAATCAATAAACAAACAAAAACTGGGATCTATATTATAAAAGGACTATGGCCACAACACTGTAACGCCCAATGACCAGACGGGGAACAGGGCGGGTGGCAGCGGCCAGAACAAAGCAGCCCAGGTCCCAGGTGCCTGGTGGCAGTGGCTGGAGAGAAGCAGCCTGGATCCTGGGTGGGTGCCTGGCAGCAGCCAGAGCAAAGCAGTCTGGGTCCTGGTTGCCTGATGGCCGGGGTGCGTGCAGGTGGGTGGGGTTGCATGCTGGGCTTCTGGTCATTAGTAATATGCATACTTAATCATAACCACAAAAAGCTTTAACAAAGTAATAAAAGTAAATGCTAAAAAAAAAAGGTGAATACATATTTATTAAAATACACAAATTATATATTTCATGAAAATATACCGGAAAAGCACCTCAAAATGTGTGCTCTGGCAATGGAAGATCAGTAATCCACATCTTTGGATTGAAAATTCAATATATGTTTATGGCTCTGACAATCTGATGGCAAAATGATTCACTGAAAAAATGAAAATGACCAAAAACAGTGAAAATGATTCGTTGAAAAGATAAAGTAGGAAAAATATTTTCCCCATATATAAATCTAAGGGTAATATGCTAATTAGACTGGACATGTTCCAGATGGATGTCCTTCCTGATAAAGCAAGCTTGTGTCCTAGGTGCCTGCCGGTGGCAAGAGGGGAGAAGCAGCCCAGGTCTGGGTGCTGGAGGGAAGCTGGTGCCGGCAGCTGGGGGAAAGAAGGCCTACTCTTGCATGAATTTTCATGCATCGGGCCTCTAGTGTGTGTGTGTGTGTGTGTGTGTGTGTGTGTGTGTGTGTGTATACTAATAAAAGAAAAATGCTAATTGACCATATCTTCACTATGCCCACAGCCAATCAGCGAGTATGCAAATTAACCCAACAAGATGGAGGTTAATTTGCATATGCCGGCAGGAGCGGTGAGAAGCCTGTTATGAGGGGAAGGGGGGCAGTGAGGGAGCTACTGGAATGGTGCTCAGGCATAAACGAGGCTTGCTGGCTCCGGGTGGCCCAGGAGCGGGGGATGTGCCGGCTCCTGGGCAGCTGGGGTGGGGAACGGGGACTTGCTGGCTCCCTGGCAGCTGGGAGTGAAGCCAGGGGCCTATTCTTGCAAGAATATCGTGCAACGGGCGTCTAGTATGTATATATGAACACATTATTCTTAATATACAAAGTACTCTTATGTGTCCACAAGGAGAAAAGGTAAATATTCCAAGAAACACAAAAGGCGATTATACTTGTGATAGGATGTACAAACTTGATAATAGTATAAGAAATGCAAAGGAAGAGAGATAGCATTATTGAAATATCGAGCTAAAAAAATCTGACAATGTATAGTGGAAGGGAGTGTGAAATCTGGGATGATTCTTATCACACAGGAAGATAAAAAACAGAGCAGGCAGGAAAAGAACAGCCAGAAGACTTAGCTCATTTAAGGAACAGGAAGAAGGCCAATGTTCCTGGAAAAGCACAGGCCAGTCTGAGAGGAGAGGAAGTCAAGGAGCAGGAAGGTGTTGGATGAGGGCCTTGGTGAGGAGTCTGGACTGTATTGTGGGTCATGAAAGCCTTGGACAATTATAAAGAGAGGAATGACATGATCGATGCATTTTCGAAAAGAGCAGTCTACTCTGTAGAGAGTAGAAGGAAGTGCCCTAGCTGGTTTGCTCCGTGGTTAGAGCATCGGCTCACAGACTGAAGGGTCTTGGGTTCAATCCTAGTCAAGGGCACATAACTCAGATGCAGGCTCGATCCCTGGCCACGGGTGGGGCACGTGAGGGAGGCAACTAATGGATCGATAATTCTCTCTCTGTTTCTCCCCCTCCCTTTCACTCTCTCTGAAAATCAATGGAAAAAATATACTCAGGTGAGGATTAACAACAACAACAACAACAACAACAACATAAAAGAGTGAAGGAAGCATGGGGCTCAGGTAGGAAGGCAAGTGAGAAAAGATGGTAACCCTTACTGGGATGGTGGCAGTGGATACGGAGTGTAGGATGGATGTGATCATGATGTATTCTGGAGACAGAGGGGACAGAACTGTTGATGGAGTAGACATAGAGAGTGAGCGGGAAAAGAGCCCAGGTCATCACTGGCTTGAGTACTCAGGTAGATGGAGAAGTGTGCCACATGCTTCAGTTAGTCTGAAACCACAGTGCAGGTGGTTTTTAAGCCACTCCTGTGGCTACTGGCATGGTGTGCACAGGTATTTAAAGAGGGCCTGGCAGTACAGCCATGATCAGTGTCTGAGCATGGCTGTGCTAGACCATCAGGGCTGGGGAAGGCTGACTCTGTGTCAACAGCCATGACCAGGGCCAGCCCACCCCCACCTACCCCCAAGATGGCCTTAGGTGCCCCCGCTCCCCCCCCCCCCTCACCTGTCCCACGTAGCCGGAGCACTCACTTACCTGATTGTGCTTGGCGATGGCCTCATAAGAGCGCCGCATGGCCCAGAAGGCCTTTGCTTTCTCCCGCAGCGAGTGCTCCATGTTCCTGCACTTGGCCTGATAGGAAGAAGGAGAGAGAGAAGCAAGGAGGTAGGTTAGGGGTCGAGGCCAGATTGGGAGGACGACACATTTACAGTTGGAGTTCCACTTCTACAAGGGTACAGCTCAACCATAATTACTGAACCTACTCCGTTCACACACTGTAGGGAACAGCAGAAAGTATGGCCCTGACCTTGAACCATGTTTACAGCATAAAGGGCCCTCAGATATCCTCTAACTCGACTGTTGCTTTATTCCTGCTACACAGGTACAGAGACAGGACTGAGAAAATCAAGGGACCTATTCCCCCTCAAGTTGGTCACAGTACAACAGAGAGGGGATGCAACCTGCTCAGGCCTAGAGCTGGTCCAGGCTTGGCCATGAATCTGGAGCTGAGTGTTTAACTGTAAAGACAATGTGCCCACAGCCTTCCTTTGTGACTCTCTCTCTTTTTAAAAAAAATATATTTTTTATTGATGTTTTTACAGAGAGGAAGGGAGAGAGAAAGCTAGAAACATTGCCGAGAGAGAAACATCGACCAGCTGCCTCCTGCACACCCATTATGAGGATGTGCCTGCAGCCAATGTACATGCCCTTGACTGGAATCGAGCCTGGGACCTTTCAGTCCGCAGACCAATGCTCTATCCACTGAGCCAAACCGGTTTCAGCCCTTCGTGACTTTCTAAACTGGACTGGCCTGCAGTCACTGGTCAGCAGGTTCGATTACAGGATTCATCCAGTTATTCCCACAGGCCCTTATCTAAACCGCCTTGCACTTCCCAACCTTATCCCAATATTCTCATTGTGCTTTGACCATGTGAGATACTTTAATTAGCAGATTCAAATATCTTTTTGTTTAATAGTTTTTGTGTTTTAAACTTTAACTACTACTCTAATTTCCTTGGATTCCTTGAGGCACTGGGACTAGTTTTAGGCTGAATTCTCCCCCGTTGCATCCAGAGGCTAGCATTTTCTCTCTCTGACTTCTTCTCTCTACTTTCTAAGAAAGCTTTTCAAGTTTTGTTTTGAACCCTCACCCGAGAATATGTTTCCACAGATATGTTCCCTGCTGTTCCCAAAGAGAGAGGGAGGGACGTGGGGAGGGAGAGAAACATTGATATGAGAAACACCGATCAGTTGCCTCCCATACTTGGTTGCCACCCTGACTAGAGACTGAACATGCAACCTTTTGGTGTGTACGATCACGTTCCAACCAACTGAGCCGCATGGCCAGGGCTCAAGTTTTTTCTTTGAAAAAAAAATAATAAAAAATAACAATTCTTATCACATTAATTATAAATGACTACCATTTATTGAACATTTACTATTTGCCAGGGGCTATGCTAATTACTTCACAAATTATGCCACTTAATCATCATATTCCTATTAGGTAAGTATTATTAGCCCCGTTTTAAAGATGAGGACAAGTGAAGCACGGAAAGGGAAAGTGATTAGGCCAAGGGCACACAGCTAGTATATGGCAGAATAAGAATGTGAACCTAGATGGTGGTGGCAGGCAGCCCCTAAGAGGGCCCTAGTGATCCCTCATTCCTGTGAGATGTTTATTGTTTTAAGCTATCAAATTTGGGGGTGATATGTTATATACCAATAGATATCAGAGATTTGTCTTCAAAAAAAGCCTCATCCCCACCTGGACCTGATTTGGATAGTGAGATTCTGGATTTTGAGCTGATACTATAAGGAGATGAGATGTATGGAGATCTTAAGACCAGCTGAGTGTATTCTGTATGTGGGAGGGATATGAAACAGTGGGGGCCAGAGGACAGAATGAAGGAGGCAGCCTATAAAATGGCCCCAATCATCCCCACCTCTGGGTGTTCATGCCCTGATAACAACCCTCCCCTGTGGACCAGAGCTAGTCATCTGCTTCTAACCAATCAAATATGGCAAAAGTGATGGGATGTCACTTCTGAGATGAGAGGACAAAAAGGCTGGGTACCCCTTCTCTCCCTCTCTTCCTTGATCTGGCCTATGGAGCAACCCATGGGGCAAGGAACCGAGGTGGTCTCCAATCAATAGCCTTGGGGACCTGAAACCTGCCAGCAACCACCCAGCAAGCCTAAAGGGGGGTCTTGGTCTACTTGTCTCCTGCTGAGACCGTAGCCTCTGCAGCACCTTGACAGCAGCAGCATGAGACCCTGGGGCAGAGGCACTCAGCTAAGTCATGCTCACATTTCTGATGCACAGAAACCATGAGATAATAGATACATATATTTTTTTGTTTTAAGCTGCTATGTTTTGCAGTAATTTGTTACACAGCAACAGGTCACTACTTGCCTATTTGTCCTTCTCCACAGCCCATTCTTTTAACTGCTATGCTACAGAAAACAAAATAATGACTGATTTCATTTTCTGCAGGTTTTGTTTTCTTTTCTACTCATTTGGGATACTTTTATGTTTTTAGGATATTTAATAGATTTTTAAAGTACCGTTTTTTTTTTTTTTGTGTGTGTATGTGTGTTTTTTTTTGTAGTATATCACTACTTGATGTCGTCTGACACACTAAGGTGGTGTGTGTCCTCAATAGCAAAATAACACTAGTATGAGTGTCCCACACAGCCACTGAAATATCATCCTGTTTTATTTTATTATATTGTTACAAAATCATGCAATAAAGTCCAAGAGGACAATTCTATGATTGTCCAAATACGTATGAATGATAGAAGTGAAGCAACTGCCCACACACATCACCTAGTGTTGTGCTGGCCCGACCCTCTGGCTTCAACCTTGACAGTTAGGGAGCTGTAGGACAATGGACATAGATAAGAGGGGAGGATAGTCCCTTGTCTTTCCCACACTGTTCAATCATCTGGAGATTTCTGGTTTAATGCAGTTCAACCAAAAAGGTTATTATTATCAGCAAGCAATTATTATTGAGCCTGCTACATTCCTACAAAGTAGGCCCTGTATTCCTATTATGCAGAGAAAATAAGGCCCAGGGGAGCTAAATAACGTATCAAAATTATAGACTGTAGCAGACCCAGGAATTGTACTCAGAACTGTCCAATTCTACAGGCCATATTCTTTTTTTTTTTTTTTAAATATATTTTATTGATTTTTTACAGAGGGGAAGGGAGAGAGATAGAGAGCTAGAAACGTCGACGAGAGAGAAACATCGACCAGCTGCCTCTTGCACACCCCCCACTGGGGATGTGCCCGCAACCAATGTACATGCCCTTGACCGGAATCGAACCTGGGACTCTCCAGTCCACAGACCAACGCTCCACCACTGAGCCAAACTGGCTTTGGCCAGGCCATATTCTTAACCACAACACTACATACCCTGTTTCAGTATTGTTTCCCTCTTTTCAAGCCTTATAACTTATAATTCTTGATTTACTTTATTAGCTAGGATCTCCATTACAAAATTGAGTAGAATTGGTCAAAATGGGCATTCCTGTCTTTTTTGTAAAATCTCAATAAGAAAGCTCTCAATGTTTCACCATTAAATATGGTATTTGTTATATACTTTTTGTTAGATACCCTTAATCAAGATTAAGGAACTTCCTTCCATTCCTTGTTCTGTTTTTTTTTTTTCCCCCTCTCTCCTTTTAATTCCAAAAGGATATTGAATTTTATCAAGTACATTTTTAATCAATTGATATATCATATTTAAGTAGCATAGAATTGAATTTTGGTTTCTTATTTAGTCTAATAACTTTTGTCATTGAACTGGAATATTTAACATAATTACTGATATATCTGTATTTTAAACTTACATACTTGTTCTGTGCTATTTGCCATGCTTGTTCAATATTTCTTTTTCTGTCTCTTTTTGCCTTTTTGAAAAATGTACTATGCATTTTTATCCACTCTTTCCCCTTCTCTGCATTTAGTCGTTAACCTAGAAAATACATTAAAAGTATGAATTCAAATGATTCTAAACCGTATACTTTTCATTTTTGTTTTTGATATTGTAGTTTTAACATACTGTATCACAACTGGACCCACCATTCAGGGACCCCATTACCTGCTTGTAGCCCAAGAAATGCCTGAATGAACAGAAACTACAGGGACACTAGTGAGGGCTCTGGACTAATAGTTATCAATGGCCTGGATGGCTAAGTGGCCCATGACACATCTGGAATGTCATCCAGGCCCCAAACCCCAGAGAACAAATGAGCTCTGATTTTGGCATCAAATTATAACATTTCATATTATTTAATTATCAATACACAGAAAATATGTTTTTTATTTAAACTACAGGATTCAGAATGTGATTATATAGCCTATACGGATATTTTAGAAATTACAATTTGATTCCTTATGCAGCAAATTTCAATAGCATATATAATACCCCAAGGATTTTATAAAATTATTTTACCCAAAATATGTTAACTCTAGATACTATAACAGAAAATGGGAATGGTGAAGGTGCGGGTAAGAGAAAGAATAACTATGATTTCCCAAGATTGTCAGAGGACCCTTGCAGGTACTTATCCAAGTGCTAGGGCCGTGTCTGAAGCTAGGGCTATCAGGCCCAACTCAAGTTTTCTGTCCTCTGAGGTCCTATATATGCTTCTGACTTATCCCTACCTGTTTCACTCATATATCACATTGTAGCCTTGAAAACAACTCAGGCCTCTTCATTTCCTCCAAGAAGCCAGCTTGATCTCTCAGGACAGTTCAGATGTATCTCCATGGGCTCTCACAGCTCCTCAATACACCTCTATCATCCCACTCACTGCTCTGGATAATCACCTCTCTCTCTTGGAAAGACTGCAGGCTTCCTGGGGGCAAGTCCTAACACCATGTCCCCTCAGCCTACCAGAGTGGTGCTCAATAAACGTTTGCAGGGGTGAAGGCTTGCTCTGCAGGGGTAGAGACTGTTTTGCCTACTGCCTATCCCCAGGTGTTAGCACAAAGTAGTTGCTCAACTAACTACTTGCCTAGTCAATCAGTGCACTGAACACCCATGTTCTCTCCACTGTGACACATCACCTCCTGGACTGGAAGTTAGAAAAACTGATTTGCATCCTTTTATTTATTTATTTATT